CTCCCCACGCTCATGGGCCTTCCACTCTGCAGGCCTCACCGGATCAAACCCCTGCCTGGCAACTGTCTAAACCACCACCAGCACCAGGGGGCTCCCTATTAAGGAAAGCAGACGGACACGAGACCACAGAAACACAAGTACGCTGAAAGGGCCCGGCCAGCAGACAGGACACGTGTCGAACGGCAGTAAGGACGGGTGACCTGGGCACTGTGGGAGGACTCCGCCCTCGCCCATCCCGGCCTCAGCAGTGCAGTGCCTTCTGCTGACATGAGCACGTGTCCGGCTGAAGCTCAGGCGTGCCATCGCACCCGTGAAGAGCACCTTCTCGGCCTCTCTGACTAACTCCGAGTGAAGACAAGGACGCGGGGTGGCCCTCCGCGCTGTCCTGGGGCAGCCTCCCCATTTTGCCCCGAGGCTGGGGCCTGGGGCTCTCCCGGGACACAGCCCTGCAGGGCAGCGGCCAGGCTCTGCCAGCTGCAGCCAGGGACGGCGGATCTCGGGTGTATGTCTGGCTGCTTCTTCCACCTGTCTGTGCTCAAGACCACTGGCAGGATGAGGACAAAGCCAGGCATTTTGTGACACCCAGAGGCCAGGAAGCAGAGCCCCCGGCAGGGTGACTCCCGAGGGAGCCCTCTCTGCGGGTGGGGCCGCCGGGCGCGGCACAGTGACGGACAGACACGAGCACACGCCGGCTGTGCCACGCTGCTGTGCGCGGCCGGACGCTTACCTAGCGAGAGTCCATTGGTGACGGCGGAGGAGGAGGTGAGGGCGGGGCCCCGGCGAGGGCTGCGGGACTCTAGGACACTGTCGTCCAGCAGGTGCCTCGCTCTCTCCGATGGGAATGTCGCACTTTTACTCTCAACTACACTCAACTGACACATCATACTGGAAACGGAAAGGAAGAGAGAGGCAGAGCTCCTTACCTACAGCAACAGGGCTCCCCCTGCAGGCCAAGACCTCCACCCAGAACCAGGAGGGCGTCCAGGCTCCGCCCCATCTCACGGCGTGACCTTGGGCAAGCCCCATCCTTTGTCAGGGCCTCAGTTTCCCCAACTGTCCAGTGGGGGCTAACCGTTCTTGCCCTTCCCAGCTCCCAGGATGATTATGAGGTTGAGTGAGTGGGTGGTACTTGTGAGCGATGGGGCGCGCAGGGGAAGGGGGATGTGACTGCGGTCCATGCCTCCTTCTGGGGTCGCACACACTTGGTCCAGGTCCTTGCTCCCACCTTTCAATTGGCAGGTACTGCGCCCCATTGGACCTCACTGGGCTCAGGCAGGTAACGGCACCGACCTTTCGGGCCTGCGGGCTCAGTGAGATAACGCGGGGCAGGACAGAGCAGAGAAAGAGCAACCCCTTTCTCCTCCAGCCCAGGAGCGACTCCGGGGCCAGCCTGGCTGGCTGAGGCTTGTGTCTTGGTGGAAGGAAGGAAGGAAGGAGGGAAGGAAGGAAGGAAAAAAGGAAGGAAGGAAGGAAGGAAGGAAGGAAAGAAGAGACAGGTAGGAACAGAGGGAGGGAGGGACTCAGCTGTAAGGAGCCTGTGCCCAGTTCCTAGGGACACGGGCATTGCTGTCCTGGTCATGCTAAGGACCACCCATGACTCCCAGCTGTCAGCCCCACAGGCTGGGGAACCAGGGCAGATGCCCTGAGCTGCAGACTCACTCCAGCGATGGGCAAGCAAAGACTCTGAGCCCTGAGACTGGCAGGCGCAGTGCCCGCTGGATCTGGGTTTCCTCAGGGAGGCACTAACTGAGGAGGGAATCCCACACTGCTCCCTGCCCTTGCCTGCATGCTTCCTCCACCGGCTCCTGAGTAGTGGTACTTGTCGCCAGGACCAACCCAGCTCTTCTGACCCCGTGCCAGTCTGAGGAGAGGGCACCAGCCAGGGATACCAACAGCACCACCAGCCCTCCCAGATGAGGTGGGGAGAGCTCCAGCGGGCAAGCACCCCTTAGCCCCCTCCCCCCACGCTCAGCCCGCCGAGAGCCCGAGGGGGGCTCGCTCAGGTACCCACTTGTTGCCCAGGCTGTGGCTCTTCCTGTGTCTTGGGACCGGGGGTGTGGGGAGGCTGCCAGCCACAGATGCGTCAGGACAGGTAGGCCGCCGGCTGAACCTTGCGGAGCTGGAGCTGGCGGAGGGGCCTGTGAACAGAGCAGAGCGTGTCCTGTGATGGGGGCTATGGAGGCTCGGGGGTGGGGCCTGGGTTGTGGGTAAGGCACTGGGCCAGCTGTCACAGGCGGAGCAGGCCCAGCAGGCCCCGTGGCTCCCGCATGCGACACCGACCCTTCATGCCCAGCATAACTAACTTCCGGGGTGCCGGCAGTCAGGATGGCCAGGGGCCTGCATGTGCATGGTGTCCCTGCCTGGGCGTGACTTATCCAAGGCATCCAGCAGGTGGCAGAGACTTCACAGCCTGTCTTGTGAGTCCGGGCTGGTGCCCACCCTGTGCCCTTCTCCAGCCACTTTGACTTTAACGCCCACACATTCCGCAGGAGGGACAGAAGGGAAGGAGCGTAGGAGGGCGGCAGAGGGAGGACTCACTAAGTGAGAGCACAGCTAGCGAGGCAGGGCTCTGCCCAGGCCTGCCAGGTACTGCCTGGGTGGCCTTGGACGGGTTATTAACTTACTCCCTTGAGCCCGTTTCCTCATCTGAAAAATGGGAATAAGTCCTCACCTCGCAGGTGGCTGGGAGCAGTTTCAGTCAGCCTCACACTTGTTTTATATAATTAGTGCCATGTTCTCCTCAGCCCCGGTCCCAGGGACAACAGGGGTCCTCAAGCCAGGAGGCTGGGCTGCAAATGCACTGAGCAGCCCGTGCAGGAGGAGGAGGGCCTGCACGCTGGCCGGGGCACAGACACTAAACGGAGGGGCTGCTCTTCATCTTCCCGCTGTGCTCATGCTCTGAAAGGAAGTGACCCCGGGTGCTAAGCCTTAGCTACCCAGGACAGACAGGAAGTGGGCCGGAATCCTGCAGAGCACACCAAGATGCAAGCCCAGGCAGCCGTGCGGGAGCCTCCCCCGAGGGCCTGGGAGGCCTGTCCATCTGGCCCCTTCCTCCAGCCCATAAACACTCTAGTCTCTCGTTTTCTGTAACATAAGGCCCCTTGACCCCAGGGCAGTCTCCCTGTCAGTCACGTGTCCTCAAACAGAAGTCTGTCCTCCACACACTCGACGGGGCCACGCATATACAGTCCATCGTTGGCAGAAACGTCATTACATGGCACACACTGTAACGAGCTCAGAGCGGCACGGCTTGGACCTCAGCACCCCGGCTGAAGGCCCACCAAGGTCCGTGAAGGCCTTGCGGAGTGTGGAGGCACTGAAATGGCACCTATGGCAATAGAGGTGTGTGCGTGCCCTTTCCTGGCGAGGGTCCCACTGCCACTCAGCTTCTCTGAGGCTGGAATCCTTAGTCAGGGCATGTGCCAGGTTCTCAGGGGGAGGGTGGGAATGCAGCGTCTCGGGCCTGTCCCCCCAGGTTCTGATTTCATTGCTCATTGTTCTCTCGGTGACTCTAGTACACCCGGTGACCGCAGTGTATACCTGGTGACCCCAGTGTACACCGGGTCACTCTCGTGTGCACCCCTGTGACCCCAGTGTGCACCCAGGCGAAGAACTTCTGCTCAAAGAGCTGCAGGGACAGCGAGCTCTGCCCTGGAGGAAGTCTCGTGCCGCTGCCCAGAGAGGGAAGGGAGGACGGAAGCCGCCCTGCTTTGTTTTTGTTTTGCACATGTTGCTCAATAAATGAGTCTGTGCGGAGGGTGAAATCCGCCTTGTTTATCAGCAGGATTACGGTCTCTGCCTGAGTCACTCTGGCTCCCCTGGGTTCAGAAAATATTTTGTAAAGGTCAGGTCGCCGGCTCCTCCCCGGGGTCTGAACTGGAACTGGACTCCCTGGTGTGTCGCAGCAATAAAAACGGTGATAATTGCGGGTGGACATCCCGTGCCTGGCACCGTACTGTGTGCCCGGGCTGCAACCCAGGAGGTGGGTGCTTAGTAGGGACGTCATTACATGGCACACACAGGAAAGCCAGGGCTTACATATCCACGACAGGCAGGACTTGAGCCCAGGGGTACAGTGTGGGCGGAGGCGCTCCGCAGTTCAAAGGTCAGGCATCAGCCAAAGCTGGAGGAGCGGGGAACAGTGGCGTGTTTGAGGTGATCTGGTAACTTCCTCCAGGGAACCGGTGACTATTTCCAGCTGCTATTTTTGAGAAAGGGACGGTGAAGGGGACTAACATTGTTATGCACCAATGGGTGCCAGGCTTGTCTAAACACTCCCTCATCCTACGTCATGGAGCACTGTCAGTGGCTGCTTTGACCAGCGCCGTTTTACAAGGGATGCTCGGAGCACAGCCGGTCGTGCAGGGAAGGGGTGCTGGTGTGCTCTCCTTCCCGGCTGTGGGTGCAGCGAGAGCCGGACACGAAGGCTCCTCTGGTCACTTCCTGGGCCTCCTGCTCACTCCTGATGGGCGCCCTTCCCACCTGTGTCCCTGCCCCTGCTCTGACCCCCACCTCGGGCTCCCAAGCCTCCAATTAGCCTCAGTTTCCTCTGGTCAGCTACCGACTCTCCCTCCGGGGGCATGCGGGACGAGCCTGGGGCCGCCCCCTCGTCGTGCTGCTTCGGAAGGCCGTGGAGGCATCTGGCCTAGATGCCCCTGGACACAGCTGGGGGGAGGGAGGTGGCCAGTGTCACACGGACGCTGCTCTGGATGCCCTGGTCTTGGCCACATGCATCCCCCGCATTGTGGGCCAGCAACAGCCCGGCTCTGAGGCTGAGGCGGAAGAATTCCCATTGAGCTGGAACCCAGCGATGGGGTGGCCTCTGCCAGGAAGTGACATTCTGCTACCGAAAGGCCTCCCGCCCGCCCCACTGTGCCTGGGCCGGCCGCCACGTGACAGCACAGGACACGTGGCTTCCAGCAGTTTCCGATGTTGTTTTCTCCGTGTCCTGTCGGCAGGGGTGGGTGGGGGCGGCGATAATGAGCGGGCGCTCTGGCCTCGCTTAGCAGAGTGTGGTCCCCGCCGCCGCCGGCCGATATGGCACCAGCAGCTGGAAAAACTGACCGTGGGCTTGACTATCTCAGAGGATTGCTCTATTTTTCCTCAGCATAATTTTTCCATGAATAATCTTTAAAGCTCTTTAAGTGGCTGTTTCTTTAACAGTTTTATTGGAATATATGAGAACTGACAGTCTGTGGGGAATGAGATATCATGTTGGAAAAAAAATCTGGTTTTCATTACATTTTTCTTAAGAAAGCACCGTGCTGCCCGGGCCACTCACTGGTCGGCAGAGAAGCCAGCACAGGCCTCGGGTGGATGGCAACAGTCGAGCCCGGGACCCTGAGGCAGCCGGGTCTGGGCTCCCATTGGTGCTGCCACCGCAGGCTGAGTGAACTTGGGCAAGTCACCTGGCACCTCTGAGCTTGAATTCTACGGCTACAGAACGGGAGCAGTATCTGACCTGGCAGACCCACGGGGAGGAGAAGGCTCATGTCCCTCTCCCTTCCTGCAGCAAATGGTTCCAGACCTGGGAGGGGCAGTAACCAGATAACCACGCCCAGGGCCGACACAGGCTTTGGTAGTGATAGACCTGGTGCTAACCACACTCACAGTGTAACCATCACGGTATAACGGTGGTGGTAATGGTACTGACCGCCACTCATCGAGCATCCACCAAGTGCCAGGATGTACCGAACGCTTGTTCACAGGTCCTCACTGAGGCCTCGGCATCACCCCGCCTCACAGGGACTGTTGTTAGCTCCTCCCTGGCACGTGGGACTGAGGGCGATGTGGGACCTGAGGTCAGAGGGCTAAGGCGCTTCTTGGGGGAGCAGTGGAGCCCGGAGCAGTTCATCTGAGAACCTGGGAAGGCCAGGGCAGACCTGGGGGGTCCGACATCCAGGCTGGCGAAGGTCCCGGCAGAGGCAGCGGCTTGGGCAGAAGGAGCAGCACATGCAAAGACCCCAAGTGAGAGACACAGAACCTACTAGAGAAGCTCGGAGAGCCAGCCTGGCTGAGGAGCTGAAGGAGGGAATATGGGGGTGGGTGGGGGGTGGGGGGTGGAGCTGTGGGACCGCACGAGAGGCCAAGAGTTTAATGAGGGGAAGAGGTGGAGGTTGCAGGAGGTCAGTAAGGTGCTCAGATTTGTGCCTTAGAAGGCTCTCTCTGGCTGGAATGTGTGGATGTGGCCAAGAACACAGGCTGGGAGGACGGATGTGGCAGAGAGAGGTCTAGGAGATGGGCAGGGGTAGGGTTGGTGGGTGGAGGGGCACTCGGGGTAACCCTCAGTGGAGTCTGGTGCCATTCACCGAGGGAGCGGATGAGTTCAGTTTGGGACCGATGTCGGGAGGCCATTGGGGAGACTGTGAAGCTCTGGAGACAGATGGCAGCTGGGGACAGAGGTGTAGGCCATGTGGCCCAGGAGGGTGCCCAGGACGGGGCTGCAAGCTCAGTAAGAGGAGGGAGGCCTGGGCAGAATGCAGGGAAAGTGTTTGTCGGATGAGAAGAAGACAAAGGCTGAAAGGACTTGTGCAAAGCCAGAGTCACGAGAACAACTATTTGAGGACAGTATCACTTTGGGCACATGAGTAAGTGACCTTCTTCCCTTCGAGTGCTACAGGAAGGCACAGCGGCCGGCACTCCTCCTGGCAGCTTTGTGCGGGCAGCACCCACCTTTGAGGCCAGGACACACGGCAATGCCCCCTATTCTCTGACTCGGGTCTTTAGAGAGCAAACCGGAGGGGCCTAGTCTGCCGCCTGTAGTCAGCTGGCCAGAGCCACATGCGGACAGGCCTGGATGCCTCAGAATGACCCCCTGTTCATCCTGGAAGCTTCTCTTGGGAGAAGAGAGGAATGGAGGGAGAGGGCTGCCAACCTGCCCCCGCTTCAGGGGTTGAATCAGACAACGGCGTGGGCTGTAGCTGCGATCCTAGCCCAGCGCTTACAGCGCCTGTCCCTGAGCTCTCAGAGGGCGGTGACCCTCCTCCTGGCCACAGCCTCCTGCCCCTTGCTCTGGGGTGCCGCGCCCCACACTCACAGCGCCTGCCGTTTGTCACTAAGGAATGGTGTTGGCAGCCTGTAGGTCGCCCATCTCTCCCACCAGACTCCAGCTCTGGAGTCAGGGGCCGTGTCCCAGTGCCCAGCGCAGGGCGGAAGCGAGGCGTGCGTGCTGAATGCTGGTGCGGTGCCCACGGCTGCAGGGGCAGTGGCTGCAGAGGATGCGGGGCTGGGATGGGGATTCCTGTTCCCATGGGTTTCCAGCGGCAGGGAGCGGCCCTGCCCAGGCCAGCACTGCCGATGTCAGCAGTCTGGCAGCCCCACTGCGGCCTTTGGGGTGGTTTCCAAGTCCTGCACATCGGCCATTAATGGGAGGCAGCTGGGGCAGAGAAACTACTGAGCTTGGAGTCCCAGGATTTGGGTTCCAGTCCAGCCTCTGCCCAGGGAGGAGCTGGGAGTTCAGGGTCAGGATCCTCTCTGGAGAAGGCGGATGACGACTGCTGTGACAGGGGGCTCTCAGGCGCCACCCTGGCTGAGATCTGCACAGGACGCACTTCCATCCGGTCTCAGCTTTGCTCCTGCGCCTGCTAGAGCCTTCCCATCTGCCGGGGCCCTGTGCACGCAAGACATGGGTCCCTGGGCACAGAGTCTGTTTGTGTTGAAACCTTTCTCTGGCCAGGTTTCATGGTCGAGCCTGGGAGCCGGTCCCTTCTACATTCTCACACATTCTTTGTTTCTTATCCATGCAGCTCTCACGGGTCTCTTTTGTGAGCCAACGTCGCCCTTCAGCTGTGGGGAGGCCCAGATGCCATCTCCTCGGGGGAGAAGGCCCAGACTCCCAGGCACAGGGGCAAGGAATGCCTGCTGTGGCGGTGCTGCATGGAGCTGGGCCAGGCAGGGCAGCAGGGTCGGACAGAGCAGGGCCTGAGCCTGGCTCCTCTGCCTGACCTTGACACGCCAGCCTAGTAGCTGGGAGATGTCCAGAAGAGATTGGATGTGCCCTCACTGAGGGCTCCTCACCCACTCTGAGACTATAAACGGGAGGAGAGAGGAGCATGAGGGAAGGGAGTCCCCACCCCTGGCCCACAGGGTGATCTCTGCATCCACTCAACCATAGTGAGCATCTCCACAGACCACGCAGAGAGCTTGAAACCTGTGCCCAGCAGCTGGGAGACCCAGGGAACAGCCAGTGCCTCGCTCAGGCCTGCGGACCCAATGGGACTGCAGCCAGAGGGCAGTGTGGCCGCACCAGCTTAGCTGCACTCGAAGATCCGCTGGCACAAGGAAGGTGTGGCCTCCCAGGGACCAAGGTGGCCCCTGTGAGGAACGGGCATGGAGGTGAGGGGATCCAAGCAGCATGGAGCTGGAGGTGGCACGGACTCCCTGTCGGCCGCCTCGCTGTCCCTCCATCAGGACACATCAGTGCTGAAGCCGAGTGGTAGGCGTGCACTGGCTCCATGCTGGGGCTCTCCCCACACGGCCTCACCCTGTGAAGTGAGACAACATGAAGTATTCATGTCTATTCCCATTTCACCAAGAAGAAAACTGGGCTCACAGGGACTGAGCCGATTGCCCAGGGTCCCACAGCCAAGGGCCAGAGCCAGGCGGGCCTTTACCCAGCGGGCGGTGAGACAAGGAAGACCACCAGGTGTGCGGGGAGCAGGCCCGCGGACCGGGTGCAGAAGCGGGCGGCGCAGGCCGCGGTTTCCCAGGGGCTGGCTCCGCTGCCGAGGGCTCTTCGGAGGAAACCTGCCAGTTGGTTTGGCCACGTGGAGGCGGAGCTCACAGGATCTGGAAATGTCTTCACGGGCTCCAACGCACACACAAACATGGCTTGCCCTCTCTGAGGGTCAGCATTCTTTATGATTTTTGCTCTCCAGGAAAATATTAGTTCATTTATATAAACGAAACAGTGCATACGGGGAAATTGAAAACGTGGCCCTTTTTTCTCCACAGACCGGAAACTGAGAAGGTTTCTCCATTTCCTTTCTCACTGTCTGTCTATCTACTTGTCGTGTGGATCTGCCAGCATGGCCACTCCTTGGAGTGCAGAGTGGGGGCAGCTCTGGGGGTGGGGGGCGTGGGCCATTGCAGAGATAGAGGGACAGCCTCAGTGGGGACCACTCTGACATTAGCCAAGGCCTCAGAGGGACCTGAGACTAGGGCTGCTCCCAGCGCCAGAGTCTGCGTCCCCCGTTCCCCCGTGCCCCTGGCGGGCGAGCTGGTTAGAGGAGTGGGCGCAGCCACAGGGAGGGGCCCGGGAGCTCCCACGGGCCTCCTTTCGGGTCCTCGATGCCACACCTGCTCTCTCAGGCTGCTTCTGCATGTTTCCCCCCAGGGCAGTTCCAGAGGGCAGCCTGTGCCTGGCTCCTGGTGCGGGGCCGCAGTGATGCCTGGCCCACAGCAGGCCCGGCCTGGAAGGTTTAAGTGAAGGAACGAATGAACACATCGTGCGGCCTCTCCTTGGCAGGTGTGGGCGCCTGCCTGCTGGAAAGAGATCCCGGGGCGGTAGCTTAACCCCCCTCCTGGGATCCGAGGAGGCTGCGTTCCTGCCATTCCTGGGACTGCGAGAGGCACATTCCTGTCCCCGGTCTGGTCAGGCTCCTGCCACGAAGCCCAGTCTCATTGCCAGACCAGGAAGGCCTCTTGGGAGCCGTCCCTCTGGCCCTGCCCCCACGGGACCCCTGGCTGTCCCAGGGGTGCTGGCACCACCTCTGTCACCTGAGGCTGGCGTGGGGGTGGGAAGCCAGGATGGAGGAGTGAGCCTGAAGCCTTCCAGACGCTCCCCTGCCTTCTGGTGATCAATGAAAACCTTCAGCTTCCAGGGCTGCAGCCAGGGGTTTGGAAAATTGGTGGAAAACGCCCCTGTGAGCCGAGCTCGCTCGCTGCGTGAAAACTGCTGGCATCAGCGCTCCTCCAGGGAGTGCAGAGTCAGCAGTCGGCGGCTCTGGAGCTGCTTCGAGAGCCAGGTGCCCACAGGGCCTGGCAAGGAGCTCAGAGGCCAGGGCTGAAGGGGTGAGGGCAGGCGACCTGTGTGCCACTCTGGTACCCTCACTCAGGGCACTCTGAGGGGAGGCAGCCTGGATAAAGGAGCACAGAGCCGGGAGCGGCAGAGAGCTGGAAGGAGCTGGAAGGAGCTGGAGGGGGTGGGGAGTGGGGCACAGGGCTGGCGGACTCGGTGAGAGGCCAGCTAGTGGATGTTTTGGGCTTTTAGGCTAGAGGGTCTTGGTCCCATCCACCAACCAGCCCCGCCACTGGAGTGTGAAAGCAGCCACAGACTAGAGGTCAGTGAAGGGTGTGGCTGTGCACCATTACAAACGGGGGCCTATCCCTGGCATGATGGACCCTGGCCTGGTCAGTAGGGGTGGGCCTGGGGGGCGGGCGGGGAGGGAAGGCTTCCCTAGGCAGTGAGGGCCTGCTAAACCCTGAAGGGAGACTTGGTGCAGAGGCGGAATCATAGCACTGACGATAACATCATCCTTGCAGCAGATGCTACCCTTGCTGAGTGGGTTCTAAGTGTCAGGCTCAGCGCTCAGGGTTTTACTTTGTGATCTCAGTAAATTCCCACAAGAACCCTGTGAGGGAGGTAACAGTGTGTCTATTTTACAGATGGAGAACTGGAGTCTCCCAGGTGCTGGGTGTTCTGTTTGACCCCTCAGACGCCAAGTCTCTGCGACACTGGAGTTGGTAACACGTTTTCTTCCCCGTGTCCTTCAGCTGGAGGTGCCGGGTGCCATGCCGCTCTTTAACCCGGACGGTGGGGAGTGGCCTGAGCAGGTCAGCAAGCTGGAGGCGCCCGCGCCAGGCAGCAGCTTGCAACAGCCATGCCCTCCCCAAGTACTCACTCAGGTCAGACCACACTGAGTGCCTTCCAAGTATCATTTCCACCCTGACCTCCCCACGAGCCCGGGGTGGAGACTTTATAACCCTCATTTACAGGTGAGGAAACCGAGGCCCGGAGGGTGGACCTGCTGATCCAACAGTGCAGTGGCCTAGAACCCAGGCTGGTGAGACCCGAGCTCAAACCAGGAGGAGGAAGCACCGTGGGCCCAGACCCCAATCTGGTCCCACCCTGGGCAGCAGTGACGTCATCCCCAGGCACGGAGAGCCGCTGGACACTGAGGAACAGAAACCGCCATGGTGACGTGGCGTGTGGGCAGAGTGCTCCACAGGTGTGAGCTTGCTCAGGCGCCACAGCAATCTGCAGGGTGACTGCCACTGATGACCAGAGAGGGGAGATGGCACGGCTGGGGCTGACTTCCTCACCAGGGAGCACTGTGTGCCCCAAATATGTGGACAGACTGAGGCTCCAGGGAGATGAGCCATCTGCGCCAGGGGGCACCAAACACAGCGGCCCCCTGGGCACCCTCCCGGGCACCACAGCTCCAGGGCCGGGGCCTATGGAAGGGCCCTGGGGACCCGGAGAGGATCCCACCTCTGCCCTGTGCGTGCTCTCAGCCTGGGTTCTGATCTTGACTCTCTTGGGCTTTTAGGTCCCAGGCTCTTGCAGGCAGCCCCGGCCCAGAGGGGGTTCCGGGGGACGGCAGCCTCGGCGGGGTAGTGCGGGAGGGCTGTGTGCGGGGACAGCGGTGTCTGCCAACCGGCAAACACTGCGCCCTTGGCCCCGCGGTCAGGACCCACCTGGCAGCGTATCTGGGCTTTCAGTGGGTCTGCCCCACTCGATAGGACACATCTACAATACCTGCAAGATCTTCCTTTGAAGAGACAAGTCTTGGAGAGCTGCTTCCGGGTTCAATTCTGAGCGACAGTCTGAAAACAAAGGGTTTTCACAGGATCAGACGGGCTCTGGAGCATCAGAGGGGGGCTGAGCAGGTGTGTGTTTGCAACCGGGAGACTGGAAGGAGGTTAAGGAGGCTCATAGTCCCGAAACCCAGGAGTACTTCGAGGTGTGCTCCAGATCACAGCGACTTCCTTCCGAGCCCGCAGCGAGTTCCCATGACCCAGCAATGACGGGTGGCACAGCAGAGTGACCATGGCCCATCCTCTGCCAGCACCATGTGCCCATTCTCCAGACATCCCTAGGTAGGCATGTCATCCCAGCCAGCCTATAGACGAGGAGCTGAAGAGTAGTGAGCTGAGTAGCTCCCTAAATTCAAAGACCAGCAAGTGGTGAGAAAGGGGATCTGTCCTAAGCCGGGGTTTAACCCTCACGTGACACTTCCTCTCAGTTGCCCCCAGAGCAGCAGGAGGCAATGGCCACCTTAGGAGGATTGCCAACTCGGTATTATTATTTTCCAAAAGCACCCATTAAGAGCTGCTGGGAGAAATGACAGAGCGAAGCCTGCGGCCAGACTCCCTCTCTCCCAACAAGACCAGAACACACTGAGGGAAGCTTAGGAGTGACCAAACTCATCAGGTGCTGCTCAACAACGTTAGGGGCGTGACCGGGAGCCATAACCTTCAGAAACTCGCAGCCAAGGAAGGAAAAGGAGGTGGTGAAGTCTGGCCGGGAGTTGCGACGCGGCCTGACTCCAGTCCTGCCCCCTGAGACTGCTCGGCGGGCTGGGCGGGTCCTCACCTGTCCCTCCTCTGAGTGGCCCCAGGTGCTGGGAGAAACGGGTGGGGTGAGTGGAGGGCCTGGTGGATACGCTGACCTGACAGAAAGGAAGCCTCCATAGGGGGATGAGGGTAGAATTTCACACTTGAGGGGATCCCTTTCTGGAATGGGATACAGCTTCAGGGTGGAGGAAACCCTGAAATAGAGCGCCCATACCCAAAACAGACAGCTTGCTCCCCTCTTCACAGGGCCTGAGCCTGCGCTCCCCAGGCACCAGGAGGGAAAGAGTGAGAACGCCTGGCGCAGGGGAACCAGCCCGCTCACACACAGGTGCAGGGCCAGCTGTCCCTCCCCTATCACAGCCATGGGAACAAGATGCAAAGGAATGGCCTGGCCACTGAGCAAACATCCTCTCCCAGAAAGAGGAGAAAGGAAGAGGGCAAGTTGCGGGGCCGGGGCAGCCCCAGGAGTACGAGGAAACCCCACGTGCTTCCATCAGTAGAACTAGTCATGCAGAACCCGGGCTGGAGAACACAAGGCCTGAAAAATGAGACGGTAACGCACAGGAGGGAGATGAAAAGGGGTCGGAGGCCTAGGAAACCGGCAAGGACTGAATGAGGCCCGGAGTAGAAGCACGACCGCGACAGCCATTAGGAAGAAGCCAGTGGGTACAGAAAGCAGGCAGTACCCAGGTGGATGCCTAGAATCCCCGCGAGAGAAAAGCCAGGAATGACACAGGAGAAGGGTCAGATGTAGACCAAAGAATTCCTCTGAAAGGAGGAAAGAGCACACCTTGTGCCAGGGACATTTGATACCAAACACCCTCCACTCAGAGGCATTCCCCTGGTTGAGTTTTTGAAATTCAGGGAACTCTTCCCCCCCACTTCCCCCAGGCGGACCAAGCAAGGCACTCAATAAGAGGAAAAAAATCAGACGGGCTTGGACGGCAGCGGACAAGGCAGGACGGCATGGGAGTGGGGTCCACGTGTCCTGGGGGAGATGCAAAGGAGCGCAGACGAGAAGTAGGAAGCAGACACGCTCACGAAGGAAACCGGAGCGCGCCCAACACGTGGAAGCCTCCTGACATCACCTCCACACGGGACTGACTGAGAATAAAAAATCCCAGGAATGGAGGCGCAGTGGGGAATCAGCAGGTGGTAAGAACAGAATCTGTGTAAAAACACTGAGCAGCAGGCACTGTGATTCCTGAACATGATGTGTACGTTGTAAACTTGGACGAGGCAGTGATAATAAAATAACCAACAACAAACGGGAAGATGTGAAATGCAGGGGAGGGGAGGGCAGCACCAATGTTCTCATCTTTCATAGCCCAGAGAGCTGACCCTGCTCACAGCGGGAATCCAGTTAAAACAGAACCGATGGGCTCAATCCCCTTTCTGTTTTCCTGACCTCTTCTGTTAAGCTTAGGAGGCTCTGTTGGGAAATAGTATCTCTTGGGGGGAACAAGTTGTTTGAAGAGCAGCAATTCCGTATGTTTTATTTCAGTTCCTTTTCTCTGGTTAAATTAAAATAAAATTAAAGTCAATACTTTTAATTAAAAATAGCAAGTGTAGCATGATTCCATTTGAATAGATTCTCGCCTTGCACCCACTTTCTATGCAGATAAGAATGTCCATAATTATGCTCACTTAATGCTAGTGGGAATGTGGGTTATTTTTCTTAAGTGAAATAAAAGAAACTTAAGGCTGAGGAAAACAAAGCACTGGGTGGGCCCCTTGGCACAATATCCCCAGAGCAGAGGGGGGCAGGGTGTGAGAAAGGCAGCCATCAAGGTCTCAGCTGAGCGGCTGCACCCTTTGGGGTGGGAGGCAAGTCTCCAGCTGGGCTGTGGGGTGTGGGCTCCTCAAGGAGAATCACAAGCCCAGAATGTCTCTGCCACTCAGAGCCGGGGACAGGTCCTCCCCTCCCTCCTCGCCTGGGAAGGGACCCCTCAATGTCTGGGCCCGGGAGCCAGAAAGCAGCTTCCGTCCTGATTGTCGCGGGACAACATCAGAGAGCTCCTGTGAAGTCTGGGCTAATGGGGGTTCAGCATTCGGTGCTGGGGTGCTCAGAGTCCTTCGGAAGGGCCGGAGCAATTACTCACAACCTGCAGCTTGCCCAAGGATGATCTCACAGCCAGGAGTATTTATAGGTCCTTTTTCTCCTTACGGGATCTTAGCATGAATGAAAAGGTACTGTCTCTTTAATTGTGCTACTGGCACAGGAATGGAAAATATTACCCCAGAACCTAAGTGGGAATAATTTCACTCCCTGGACCACATTTTTAAGCACAGCAAATGCTTTGTAAGTAAAATGAGTTCCATTTGTGGCAAATATAGCTTTAATGATAACCTCTGGCTTTCATCTAGTGCTGTTACTGTTATGTAATAGATCAAAATTTCCTATTATATTCTATTTTAACGAGGTATTATATAATAACAATTAAAGATATTACGTCTTGTTTCCAAGGTTAAACCAATCATCAGAACCACCTACGGCATTTTGAAAAAAACACCAATGTCAGCCCCGCCCCAGCATCTGGACGGGTAGCAGCTCCCCAGGTGACGGACTCACAGCCGGCGGACCACAGCTGCAGAGCTGGTAGACGTGCAGCTGTAGAAACAGTCACTCCTGAGGTCCTGTGAGTGAACCATGGGGAACCCAGGGGGAGTGTCTACAGTTTTCAGGGACTTGGATGAACAGTAATCAAGCTGATCCCACACTGGAAGGGATTAAAAAAAAAATATTGGCTAACAGGACTCAAAGGAGTCATGGTAGACCAGACTAAGATGAGATTAAAAGTACAGACGTACAGTTGACAGAGGGAAAAGGATGGATTACAAGATGGTGATACTTGCCTTGATATATCAGGTCTAATGGAAATGTTCCGAGGCTCCTGGCTGACCTCCAGCTCAAAATGAGCCAAGAGGATGTCCAATCAGAACGGCAGCGATGACACAAAAAGTCCTCCCTGTCCCTCTAAATACACAGAAATGCTGGGTCCACTCCCAGGTGCCACAAGTGGAGAAGAGCCAAAAGCCAGAGCAGTGTGAGTGGAAGATGAGGCCAAAGGGCCCCCCGGAATCTGTGTGGGAACTGAGTCTACTCTGGAGGGATGCATGGGATGGAGATGGGCCCCGGCCGGTGCCAGTCAGTGAGTATCCTATAGAAAGCTGGGTGCAGGGAGCTGTCTCCTCCAGGAAACAGACTCTTGGCAAACTCCTTTTGCCAGCCTGGAGAGGTGGCTAGAAGGCTGCCCTCTCCCAGCCCTGAGTCACCCGTGAGACCTGGAGCACCACACCTCACAGAGCCGAGGATTCCACGTTCACAGCACCCAGGTGACTTGAGAGAGCCAAGCTGAGAAGGTCACAAAACACCTTCCTCAGAACCAAGGGGCAGACGGCGCCACCATGGGCCTGGGAACCGGGGGTGTGTGTGTGTCAGAGGTCACATTCTGTGCACCTGCTATGTGCGGGGCCAGGGGAGAGCGTGGGCACTCACTTGTAGTTGTCGTCTTCCACAAACTTCTGGAGCTCTTCGATGTAGCGCACAGACTTCAGGTACTTCTGCACGTGGGGCAGGGTTGTGAGGTGATCTGCAAAAGGTGGACAAAACCAGAGCCTCAGTCTTTCCCCATCTCCAGGTCCCGCATGAGAATGTGGGCATCGCTGATTTTGGCACTAGATGCTCCTTGGGTATTGGAGCATATATTCAGTCTTTCCAGAGTTTCTGATGGTCCCTTGGGCCAGGCTTTATAGCAGCGGTTCACAACCTGTGAGTTGCGACCCACAGGTTGAGAACCACTAGCAGCGTCACCTAAGACCATCGGAAAACACAGATATTTATATTACGATTCCTAACAGCAGCAAAATTACAGTGATGAAGTAGCAACGAAAATAATTTTATGGTTGATAGATCAACTGAAGGACTTGTATACATGCATATAAGTACAACCAATGGACATAAAGCTCTGGGGAGGGAGGGGATGTGTGGGAGGGAGGGAGGGGGAAAAATCAATAAAATATGTAAAAATAAATAAATTAATTAAAAAAAAAATTTATGGTTGGGGGTCACCACCACATGAGGAACTGTATTAAAGGGTCACAGCATTAGGAAGGCTGAGAACCACTGATCAAGAGCCTCAGTGTTCTCATTTCTGCAATGGGATGACACCTGCTTCCTGAAGCTGATGGCAGGGAAGATGCAGGTGCAGGTAGCGGTACTAAGTGAACCTTTGCTGAGCGCCAATGAAATGTCGGGGTGTGCTCAGGGCTCCGCACACATCACGTCCCCGTGTTTACTGATGAGAAAACCTCAGACTCAGAGACAAGAAATTGACTTTTCAAGAGGCAGAACCGAGATCTGAACCCTAGTCGGTCTGATACCAAACCGATCTCTGTAATTGCTCTGCTGGCCAGCGGGACAGTGAGTGTCCATGTATCTGTCAGTGGAAAAGGCCTCAGCGGTGAAGAGCGCTCTGGGAACCCAGTCTCCTCACTTTCCCTCTGGTCAGAGGACAGCTGGTCTGGAAGTGCTGACAGCTCACCCCAGTCTTTGTTGGGGGGCTTGTAAGCAGGCCGTTTGGTTCAGTGAATCCAACAGGAAGCCCACCCTGGCTTCCCAGGGGGCCTTCCCAAGCGGAAATTGCTGGAGGTTTGTTCACACCCTTTGTTCTGGGCGTCAGTTGATAACATCTTGTTTGCACAGTCTTTGAAGATCAAATACGTGTGTAAGTCCAGCTGGTATTGTTCAGTGATTGAGTGTCAACCTGTGAACCAGGAAGTCACGGCTAGATTCCCAGTCAGGACACATGCTCAGTTTGTGGGCTCGATCCTCAGTAGGGGGTGTGCAGGAGGCAGCCGATCAATGAATATCATCATTGATCTCTCTCTCTCTCTCTCTCTCTCTCTCTCTCTCTCTCTCTCTTTCTCTCTCTCTCTCTGAAATCAATAAAATATATTTGTTTAAAAATCTAGCACATGTTTTGTGCTCAAGGAAGAGCTTTCTCACTGATAAGGTGCCGGACTCAGATTGCAGTGATGTGACATTTCACAACCCCAACAATCAGTGGTACTAACCATAGCTGCAGGAGACTTGTAAATCTGAGATTATTCGGAGAATATTGTTCATCTGATTGGATCTTTGTTCGTTTTCCATAATGCTGCCTGAGGCAGGATATGCAGAATCAATATAGATTAAATCCAGAAGATAGATCCCTTAAAAAAAAATACAATAAAGTCAGACGATAGATCCCTAAAAGTAAAGAAGATATTTAATGATGGTAAGTGTTCACCATAAATCAGACAAAAATAGAACAAAGCACACTGCTCTGCTAAAAGATATAAAGGGCGGCTTATGGAAAACTGAGATTCTCTTTGGATTTCAAGTCCAATCCTGACTACTAATTTTTCACATAGACCGTTCAACTGTAAATCAAGCATCGAGTGACAACCAAAGTGAATGCTGGCGAGATTTCAGCATTTCTGATTCATACATTCTCCAGCAACAAGGATTTTTTTTTTCTTGTAACCCAACTGGAAAATAACAGGACATAAAGGAGATGAATGAATACTTGTGTTTTTCACCAACCGATGAAGTTTAAGAGGTCTAAGATATTCTATCCAGGAGAACACCATTTGGATGGAATTCAGTTTTTTCATTTATTCACTTAGCTGCATGTCTATCTGTACACCCTCCCCCAAAAAATCATAAATTAACTAAGGGATAAAAAAAAATCATAAGTTAACTAAGGGATAAAAAAATCATAAATTAACTAAGGAATAAAACCATCCTTAGTTAAAAATAAAAAACAAAAAACTAAGGCTAGACAGAGAATTCTCCTGAGGGTGCTTAATAAAAAATAACATGTGATATAAAAACAGGCCAGTGTTGGGCCTCGGCATGGCCTCGTCATCACCCAGGGGAGATTTGGAACAAGCCACCTGGGCAGAGCTGGGAGAGGACTGGCAGTGCAGCGTGAGGCACGACATAGCCTTCAGCTGACTGGCGGGCCACAGGGCAGGGCTGCAGGCTCTCGGGGGATGTGAGTCCCGCCGCTCTACCCATGATATTTGTGGGGTTGAGAAGGAATAGCGATGGAAAGCAGAATTCAATGCAGAAAACACTGAACAAGGCAACGAGGCATCATTGATATTAATGAAAAGCATCATTGCTTGAGAAGATTTGATTACAAAATTTGATTATAAATTTCTATGCACAAAGTGACATTGCATCAAAATATACAAAGCAAAAAACTATCAGAAATAAACAATGAATTCAACAAAAACATAACCATGCAGGGAGTTTTTGGCATGTCTCTTCCAGAATTTGTGTGTACGCACATAAATATACACATACAGACATATATATACAGATACATTACATATGTATGTGTGCATATATAAATATTATATTTGAGTAAAAAAATTAAGTTTGGTGTTATATTAATGAAAATATAATTATTTTCAGATACCCGTGGAATGTTTACAAAATTGGATTATATACTAGACTGTAAAGAAAAGTTTAATAGGCTTTAAAAGTAAACGTCATATTATCCACTCTCTTTGACCTTATATTACATGGAAGAGTTAACAATAAATATAGAAAAAAGGTTAACCATTCGGGAAACACACACTTGCACACATATACACATTCACAAGCAACTTTCAGGTCAAAGAAAAAACAAATAATCTAAAACAAAAAGTCTATTTCAAGAAAATGATAATAAGAACACTACTTGTCAAAATTTATAAGATCAGACCAAAGAGATAATCAGAGGAAAATTTATAGCCTTAAAAGTTTACTGTTAAATGACTAAGAATTATTACAAATGTAATGAATCAGGTACATAAAAGTTTTGTCTGGATAAATGAGCACTGTACTGAGATACATTCATTGTGTTCGTTATTCTTACAGCAACCCATTTCACAAGGAGGAAAAGGAGAAGCAGAGGGGATGTGCAACTAGCTCCAGGCCACACAGCTGGTGATGCTGGCGATGGGAGTCGAACTCAAGTCTGCCCCTGCAGAGCACACTCCTGCCATCGCAGTGGACTGCAGCTGCTGGATACCATGAGTCAGCCAGTCAGTCATCTGCTTTTAAAATAGCTACACATTGTGACGGGAAACCGTTAAATCACAGAAACAGATGCTGGTACTTCTCATAGGAACCATTTCCACTTCCTTTCTAGTGGCATCATGTTTCCAAATGTTAATAATTAGAAATAATGTCCCCCGTAGAGAAGCTCCAAGTTCGGTGGGTTGGAATCCACAGATTTATTCTCCCCTTGTTTTCCCTCTTTCCTCTTAACAGGGTGACTCAGGTGCCTCCCCGAGGCCTCAGCAGTGGCGGTCCTGAAAGTCTCATCGCTGCTTCAAGCACAGCAGCAAGTCCCCTCTGTCCTGAGCGGCAGGTAACGGATAAGGGGCATGAGGCAGCTTCGTTCCAGATGAGAACTTGCTGGAGACGTGAGTGGCAGAGTGAACGCTCGCCCAGGAGCAGACACTGAGGAGCAGGATGGGGGAAGGGAGACGGATGCTTCCCAGGGATTTACCATCCGATGGAAACCTATCCTCCTTCAACCTCCTGTGATCCTCCCATCAACCCCATGAGGGTTAAAGAGAAAACGAGAGCTTAGAGAAATAAGAAGCCTGCCCGAGCCTCCCAGTGAGCGTGCAGGATGTGAGCCCAGGTCTGTTTGGCTCCAGCACCTGCGTTCCCACCCACTGACTGGCCATCAGACACGCACGGGAATCGCCTTTCCTCCAAGGGCACCAGCACGGAAGCCTTGCCCTGCCCCGCCCTGTGAGGATGGGTGCCGGCCCTTCCGCTTCCTCTCAGGTCCCTGGCTCTGCAGACAGAGGCCAGGAAGAGCTTGCCTTTGAAGGGACCGGCAAACCTTTCCCACTGCCCAGCCCCTGTTTGCATCCTGATGGCACGGGGAGCTCACTACTTAATAAGAGCAAATTCTACTGTTGGAGTGTGCATCACCCACCTCTACAAAATGTGCCGATGCCAGCACCTGTCCACTCCCAGGTCCAGAGAGTGGAGGCCACGGCCAGGACCTGGTGAGGACTGAGGGGCCCTCCCAAAGGAGGTCTCCTGGCCCCGGTGGCCCGGAGAGACCTCAATCCACCGCGATGCGTGGAAAGAACCTCCATACAAAGTCTTTCGCTCCCATGACAAGAACTCCAAAAGCAGCAAATCTCCCAGTTAAGACTGTACAAATCCAGGGAAATCTTTTCAGTATTATTAGCCCATAACTGGAAATACTTAAAAGCCTAAACCATAATGAAGTCATAAAAATAGCCACCTCCCACTTGTCCTATGCCAGTGCTGTGCTGAGCCTGGTGCACAGCTCGCACTCACCACAGCTGTAATTCTATACTCATTCGTATCACTCAGGCATTGAGTGTCTGATTCTCCATCCATTAGGGAAATTTCCAAAATTTTAATAATTAGAAAGAATGTCCTCCAATTAGGAAGGGTGTCTTCCTCCACAAACTCAATCCCTGCGGCTGGAACAGAGCGCACGGGAGCTGCTGAGTAAACATTAGCTGAAAACAAGAAAAGCATGAATGCAGCCGCGTTTTACTGAATCCATACAATAACCTTGTGAAGTACCCTCATTACTACCCTCATTTTGTAGCTGAAGAAAGTCACTTAGAGTTTGGTGAAGATAATAATAAAACTGAGCAGATAACTGACGCCTAAATAACACTTCTACTGTCTGGGAGGCTTTCGTCTTTGCAGAGAGAGAAACGGAAGCTGAGAGTCGCTTATCTGAGGCCACACAGCTGGGCAGTGACAGAGGCAGGATTCCTCTTCAGGTCTGTCCGGGCCGCCACACTGCTAGTCCTCTCTGACCGCAGCCAGCCCTCCAGTGCCTGGCAGCTGGGGAGGCAAGCCGGGCCCAGAGGTCTCCAGCCTAAGGCCCTCCCTGCCTGCTTTCTCCTTTGAGTTAACTCTCTCCAAGAAGGCTCATGACTGTGCTGTGGCCACCTCCCCTCCTACATCGGCCACTTCCTCCCGCTGTCTCCCTGGCACCCATCGTGGTGTATCTGTCCAGGCCCCACTGTCAGTGGGCCCACCCAGGCCTGGGGGCCCTGCCAGCTCTGCCACGTGATGGGCAGCTGTGGTATGAGTGGGAGAGAGTGGGGCTTGGAACAGGGAGATTTGGAAGCCTGATTCTGCCATGCTGGGTGGCCTCCGGCAAGCCTTTTTACCTCCCAGGGCCTCAGTTTCCTTGACTGGGCCTGGGAGTAATGACGGTGGCCGTGGGAGTCTGCTGGCCTGGGGCCTGAACCACTAAGATGCTCAAGAAGCTGAGCGGAGCTAACCTCGAGCCTGGCTCCGCGGTGAGGCCCCATGGGAGGGATGCACCAGCTGCGTTTGCCATAACCAAGGATGGCGCCCAGATGCGGAGCACGTGGTGGCCACCCACCTCAGCCCGGCCAGTGCGGGAGCTCCCATCTGGGCTGGGACAGCTCACTGGGCCGTCTCAGCTCCCTTCCTATTTGTACAGTCACTACAGCAGATGACACTGTGGTGCTGGCCTCGTTAGGATGGACAGTAATTGGACCGGCCCCTGGCCCTGGCTGCCATGGGGCTGAGTGGTGCCAGGGACTGGGGCTGGACTGGGAGGGGCAGACACGTTGGAGGAAACAACCATCGTAGTAACAGCCACTCGGAGCGGAAGGCGGGCCTTGCTTGTAGCACGGCATCTGGGTTCTCTCACGTCCCCATTTCTCAGACCAGGAAGTAAGAGCCTAGAGAGGAAAGGTGACTTGTCCAGGATTACACGGCTCGCAAAGGGGAGAGTCAGGATTTGAATTCAGGCCTGTCTGACTCCAAAGATTTGGGGGAGAGAGCAATGCTGAGCGCTGGGGGCTGGGAGTCACTGGCTGGCACAGAAACAAGGTCCCAGCCACAGAGGTGGGGCGTGAGGACCCCTGCAGTGGCCTGCTTTCCCCAGGGACGCCGCGGGCAGCCAGCTTCTGCCCGTGCGGCCCGCCTGCAGACGGGGCCTCCTCCTTCTCTGCTCCCTCCTTCCACGTCCTCCCAGGCTGGTGTCACTGCTGTGCCGTCAGACTGCCGTGGTGGGCAGAGCCGGGCATGTGCCAAACCCTCTTCCTGACAGGGAGGCCAGGCCCCCCACCAGGGCTTGTCCACAAGGTACTCCGACCCCACGGAGGGAGAGCCAGGCCGACAAAGGAGG